GTTGACGGTATGGAGACAACAAATTTGAATTTACTTCACATAAACTGAGGTGACTGATCGGCGCAAGATTTATAGAAAGTACGCAGAGTACATTACTAATGTCAATTCAAATTCCTCACCGGAGAATCCAAATGTTTGTGATATTGAATTGGTTTAACAGCAGGGAATCGCTATCTGAGAGTCTATAAGCTACCCGTAATTTAGTTGATTTGGTATTAAGGTTTGTTAGTTCTGAATCCAGTTCAGAGTCCAAAGCTAGTGTTTAATAAGATGAAGTCATGAGCCTGGTGGGGATAGTAGAAATTATGATGTAACCTGGTGGGGATAGTAGAAATTATGATGTAACCTGGTGGGGATATTAGAAATTAAGATGTAACCTGATGGGGATATTAGAAATTAAGATGTAACCTGGTGGGGATATTAGAAATTAAGATGTAACCTGGCGGGGATATTAGAAATTAAGATGTAACCTGGTGGGGATATTAGAAATTAAGATGTAACCTGATGGGGATATTAGAAATTAAGATGCAACCTGATGGGGATATTAGAAATTAAGATGTAACCTGGTGGGGATATTAGAAATTAAGATGTAACCTGGTGGGGATATTAGAAATTAAGATGTAACCTGGTGGGGATATTAGAAATTAAGATGTAACCTGGTGAGGATATTAGAAATTAAGATGTAACCTGATGGGGATATTAGAAATTAAGATGTAACCTGGTGGGGATATTAGAAATTAAGATGTAACCTGGCGGGGATATTAGAAATTATGATGTAACCTGGTGGGGATAGTAGAAATTAAGATGTAACCTGGTGGGGATATTAGAAATTAAGATGTAACCTGGTGGGGATAGTAGAAATTATGATGTAACCTGGCGGGGATATTAGAAATTATGATGTAACCTGGTGGGGATATTAGAAATTATGATGTAACCTGGTGGGGATAGTAGAAATTATGATGTAACCTGGCGGGGATATTAGAAATTATGATGTAACCTGGCGGGGATATTAGAAATTATGATGTAC